AAAATTTTTAAAACAACGCATCTCAATCTTGCAAATCATGTTTTCAAAAATTATGATAAGTAATATCTTAGTAAATAATTATGTCGAACTCGTTACTTAATCGAATTTATTAAACGTTAATATCATCGTTCGTTGAAGATCATGTGTAAAAAAAACAAATTGGTGATATATGTTTCGTTCTATCACTTTTGATGTATTCTTCTTTTAATTGAGTTATACAAGTAACATTATTTTCATATAATATTATTGGAACTTCCTTACTAGTAGATAAATCACATTTCTCTAAGATATAATGAGTCATTAATCATAATCAAATATATTCTCGACTTATCTCATGAATTGCTAGTATTTCTTCATGGTTGGAATATGTAGCATTTATAGTTTGCTTCATAAAATGTCATAATATAGTTGTATCATCATGTATAAATATGTAACTCGTTTATGATTAAGGTTTATATGGATCGGATAAATAATTTGTGTATATATAATCAATTAAATCTAACTTTGATTTATTTGAGTAAAATAAATATCATATCAATTTTTTCTCAAAGATAACGTAGAGAATATTTGATTTCATTCCAATATCTCCGTATTGGAGCAGAATTATGTCTTGCTAATAAATTTATAGAAAAGACTATATTCGATCGAGTATTATTAGCAAGATATATCGATGTACTATTTGCACTAAGATATGGTTTTTTAGGATCAAGTGGTTTTTTATTATCTTCTCGAGGCTAGAAAAGGTCTTTTTAGATATCAAATAAACGAACTACCATTGAACTATTCAATGGATGAGCTTTGTATAGAGTCATTATAGATTTTTTTCTATGTAAGTTGGCCGATAAATACAAATCTTATTCCGTAACATCCTCGACTTAAGACCTAAGTAGGTCGAAGATATTATTGACAATGCCTCACATTCATAGTGTGATGAATGTGAAACACTAAGTCTTGTGTCATTTTACCATTCAAATAATTATTATTCGCTACGAAAGCTCACTTAACTAAATGTTTAGGTCTATACATTATTAAAAAACTAAGTACAAATTTTTTTCAAAATAAATTCATTTAATAAGAGTAGTCATTATGAGTTTAAATTCAATAACAATTCTCTTTGATAAAATGTGTGGATATATTTATCCAAAAATATGTCTAAAAACTCACATTGGAAAAACTTAATTTAAATATTTTTAAATAACATTTTGGATTAAAATAAATATTTTTGCCTCTTTTATTTTCTTCAATTAATTTTAGGGTCAATGGTCCAAGATGTCCCTTTACTAAAATTTTTAACTATCGTATCCCTCTACTCTATTTTATGTATGCATTTGGTCCCTTCGATCACATTTCGGCATCAAAGACAATTCTTCAATTAAGAATAAAAGATGCTAACATGTGGCATTAATTTTTTTCCCTCTCAATTTGTAACATCGAGTAAAGATTTAAATGAAATCAAAAAAGAAAAACTCCAAATTGCTCTCACTTAAAAACCCCTTATATCCCAAATGTTTCCTTCCCAATTCTAACCTAACTTTAATTTTCTTTCTCTTTTAGCTTTCAAATAACAATTGAAAGTCGAATGCAGATCCTCATTTCTTCTTCTTCTTCATTTTTTTGTTAGGCAACCTACAAGTTTTTCTTCTTCTTCGTTGATTTGTGAGAGAAGCTTTACTATAACTCATTTTTCTTTTAATTCTAACCCTCCATCTTGCCAAATTTTAGCCCTTTGTTTTAGGCCTAATCAAACCTTGCTAATTAACCTCAATCATGCAAGCATCAAAGTCGGAAAAATGGGGGAGAAATCTCTCCCAAAATTACTTAATTTTAGTCTCTCAATTTCTAGAATTTTCCAACAATTAGTCTTCCTCAAGTCCTCCATTTATACAATTGATTACTTTATTTCTTTAAAGATTTTCTAACAACTTTTTAACTCCTAAAGTTCATATCTAATTTAATTTAAAAGCTCAAATTTTTAATTTTATGCAATTAGGTCCCTAACTCTATAAAAATTTATTCCATACCATTTCAAAATTTAATTTCTTTTCATAATAAATTCAATCCCATCCTATAAGAATTTATTCATCATTCACATAATTTTTATATGCCTATTTAAGCCCTCAAATTAATTATTTTGTGTAGAAATACGGTTATTTCTATAGAAAATATTCCCTATGCATAAAAAAATTCAACCAAGTTCATGGAATATTCCTACACTCCCTAAATGATTTTTCTATGCCCATTGAATAATTTCCTTACACCTTTAAAGCACTTAAATTAATTAATTTACTTAGAAAACATTATTCACGCACCGAAAAGCTTAAATAAAATAATCATAGAATATCGGAAAATTCATCCAATGATATCAAATAATCTAGCGCGCTTCTAGCAAATATTCAAAAAAAAAAAAATTTCATGCATATTTAACATGCTTAAAATTATTATTTCACATAAAAAGTCGGTATTCATGCATTGAAAATCAACAAAATATTCACCGAGTATGAAAAAACTATCTTAATCGCTCCGAATATTCTAATAACCCTTTAGAGACTATTCCATGCTCACAAAACATATTTCATATGCATTTAACATCTTTAAACTTATTAAATAATGGTTTTAACGAGTACCGGATGTTATGATTAACTACTATGAAAAATAAAAATAAAATAAAGGAACTAAGCCTAATTAACTTTTTTTTGGGGGGTGAGGTCTCTAAAATTGGGTTATGACATATAGCATTTGTTTCAATCATTTGAATGTTTGTATAATAAAAGCCGAAGAGAAAACAGGTAATTTCTCAAATATATGTTTTTTTACCCAATGTAATTGTTGTAATACACAAGTATCAATATTTTCAACATTTATTGTCTCGATATGATGTCCATTTAAATGAATATCTTGAAACTTAACAATTTTTTATGAGACTTAAGAGAGAATAATGCATAATTTATAATAAAATTTATCTCTTTAAATAATAATATATTTGTAATTCCGAAGTCCTTAAAATTTATCCATTCGAGTAATTATATATTCACTCTTTTAGAGCTTTTTATTAGATTGAGACTATCATTTATAATATTAAGATAAAATAAATAATTAAATAAACAAAAAAATAGATAAATATATATATTCTTCATAAACACAAAACAAAACAAATAAGTAAATATAGATCAAATAAATTTGTAACTATCATTATACAATAGGAGTTATAAGAAAATATAAAACTTTTATTTATAAATAGAAAAGATAATAAATTATTAATTTTAATTACCATCATTTTGATATATAAAATTTTGCTTTTATATTTTTCTTTCTTTTTCAATGAAGCTTGATAAATTTTAACAAAGTGCTTCGACGTACGACAGTACACGATCAATATTACTTTACGCCACACTAATAACATTTATGTTCGAATACTAGCTTCATCTACTTTCATTTTCTTCTATTTTTCCTAGTTTTATCGGCTTTTGGTGATATGATATATTATTATGATCATTGTAGTTTATCCACCTTTGGAAGAAAAGTGTTTATTGTGTCCATTATGTCCATAATTATTATAAATTGTCATGTTCACTTTAGAGAATGAAGTAGAATCAATAGGATGACATTCATGCTTTTTTATTAATAACTTGTTATTTTTTTTTATCACAAATAAACATAAAATCAATTTAAAATATTTCTTAAAACCTTTTTCTCGTTATTTCTACTACAAAAGCATATTCGAAACATAAAAAGTAAAGAATGTTTTCTCAACATTAAACACCCATGATTGATAATTCTTGCCCGAATTGTCAAATGCCATAAAATCAAGATTTGTGAGATTTGTTATGATAAAAATCATATAATACAAGATATAAATATTAGGAAATAAGAAAAAATATAATAATAAATTTTAAGTTTTTCAAACAACGTAAATTAACTCATTAAATTCTATATATTAGATTATTCAAAATTTTCAAACATATAATTTATGTATAGTTAAATTTAAGGTAAAAAATAAATTAAATAAATACTTATTAATGATCTAATAATTTAGATATTTTGGTAGATACATATTTCATGATCTATTATTTTGATTGATTAGAATTTCATGCTAATAATGAATTATAAAAAAATGATAACAATAATAAAATTGGAGAGAAAGACGATAAGAAAATGAGTTCACTATGAAATAAAATGAATATAAGTGATAAAAAAACTCCAAAACAACTCTCTTAATCTTTATAAAAACAAACACACCACAAAATAATGAACAATCGATGTTATCTATAGATTTCAAGATTAGAAAAAAAATTAAAAATATAAAAAATTAAAAATATATAAATAGTTGAATCAAACACACCACTCTTTCAATTTCTATATTGAATTATAAATTAAGTCACATTAAAGATTATAAATAGTAAGAATATAAAATAAACATAGACATTCATTATTTCATAATTAATAACTAACTAATTAGTTCATATATTTTTAAATTTATTTACAACTTAATCATTTTCATTCATTTTAAATTTTATTTTAATAAACATAAAAAAGTAAAAAAATGTGAAAAGATAGATGAAAAAAATAAAACATTTTTAAAACGAAGTAATATTAAATTATTTATAGCCAACACTGGTTAATTGGTTAATGGACTAATTAATTAGTTTTTGAAATAAAAAGAACTATTTAATTTGTTTTGTAAAAATAGAGGGACTAATTTATAATTTACTCTTCATTCATCTGGAAAAGCAAGTCATTCATGTCGGAACGCAAACGCAAAGCCAGGAGTAATGTCAAGATGGAGTGACATCTTTGGGATTCCAACCTAGCAGTAACAACAAGATGTGCTGCACATTTTCACGCCAAAACCTTTCATGAAAATAAGCGTGGCCAAAGATAAACGCTGGTTGCTGTCTCAAGAGAGGCAAGAGGGAGATACAAGAAGATAGAATGAACAAGCCCAAGAGTGTCCTCATTTATTCCAGGAAGCCGAGATCTTCTCAGATACGAACTACAAAGCTTTATACATTTGGGGGAGGCCAAATCTTGGCAAATAACTCCTCAACTCGGTTTGCCTGATCAACATAACCATCCAATCCAGCAGCCAGAAGCTCCACAGATGCAGGCCCCATTGTTGATCCAAGGCTTAATTGATCCCATTTAATAAGCTGAGCAGGAAGGGAAAAACAGTTCGAAAATCATTTCAGAAGTAACCGTTATAGTTGGCTCGTTAAGATGAAGAAAATTGCTATAGTTCATTTAAATGTTTTTTTTTTCCCCAAGCTAAAATGTCTGGGGCACATGGGGAGAGATGGGGCAGTAGCCTTGCAATCAAAACCCCTTCCCTACCCCCACCAAAAGTCTATTTCAGTCCACGGAACTAAATGAACAGATTTTTCTTGACCAAACCTTACTCTTTTGGTCATAATTTTTTAAAACCCTACAGAAAACAGATTTAATAAATAAAGTCACAAATTTTTCTGTGACTCAATCTAAAACAGGAAACAGATAGTAGCACACATAGGCTAATGTACATAAAATAAAAAGCACATGCGGATATGATGGTGGTGTTTGTTCGGTTGTTCTAGCAATGGACTGGTGATGTGTGATGATTATGACCTCAGTGACAAAAATAGCACATTAGAAGAATACTATTGTATTGACAGGTTATGTAAGCACTGCATGATCTAACAGCATTACAAGATGCGACATGCTGGTGAAACCACTACATAGTTTTGTTCCCTCTTTGACAACTTTTCATATGTTTGATCAAGGTAAGTTGAAATCACTATGCGTTTGTCAAGAAGTGCATTTTGCTTCTCTGCTGTGCTGGCTTAATTAAACACAGGAATTTGTGACATCTAAAAAGGAAAGAATGAGAAAATGGGAATAAAGCAGACCTCTTCTTCACTGAAATTGTATGCGGCAGCAGTATGTGGTGATAACCGCCGAACAAAAGAGTATTTCTCATCAGGAGTGGTAATAGACTCTTTCAAAGATTGCAATACTTTCAATGGTGCAATGATGTAGTCAACCCTGAAAAGGAAGCAGAACAAGACTTAAGGATAAAATCCAATGTTGATGTCTAGCTGTCCAATCCAAATTTCCAGCTAAATTTGATGGGAAAAAGGGACAAATGAGTCTGTATTACCCCAAGAGACTGAATAAATCTTGTTTGTTGCGAACTGCAGCAGCCATCAACTTGGATTTATACCCATATTTGTGGATGTAATTGTAAGCCTTTGTCACCTAAAAAGGGTAACTATAGTATGTAAAAAACTTCTTTTTCCCTCCAATGAATAACAATAGCATGTAAGCAACAGATCTCAGGGATGCAGTAGAAAGCAATGGTGGTGTTAATTTATAAGTTGATCATTATCATCCATATTTTTATTAAAGCACCAATAAAAAGCATCTAATAGACTAGGCACATTAAAGTCAATTAACCAAAACTTTAGCACAAATTAAAAAATAGGTAAATTAGAGATAACTGCTGTTTGACTAACCAGTGCCAGCCCAGGATCCTCTCCTCTTTTTAGAGCAGCTTCAATCTCAGGGTCACCAGAATGGTTTCGCGCCCAATCCTAGAAGATAAGAAGCACTTTCGCAATAAACTAAAGTTTCAGCAAACATTGTTGTCACCCAGTAGAAACAAATACCTACCCTAAGGCGTCCCACAAAAATCTGAATAACAGAGGCACCAGCTTGAGCAGCAGCAGCAGCTTGAGGAAAGCTGAGAAACATGACAAACCATCACTGTTCAGGATACTTTAAAACGTATTGTCATCCTATCAGATATTGAATATCGGCACTTCGACCATGGCATTCATCTAAATAAATTAGTTTTGCCAAATCATTACAGAAAGAGACAGGATGTCAAGGAAAAATGAAAACATTCAATGCCAAAAATAAGCAGGTAGATGAATGCAATGAGAATGCAAATCTGTAGTAATTTAGCTGCTCATTCGAATTATGTCAAACTATAAAATATCCAAATCTATAAACAGATCAAGATATATTAAAAAATAATAGCTTGAGCAAATCATTCAGCATATTAAGACATGTAAAAAAGTCTTATCTACTCCTTCGAAGTTCTCAATGCAAGGAGTATAAGATTTTTATTTTTTTTAAAAATCAAGGAATGACATGCAGAGAGTTCTCCACAAACTAGCTAACATCCTCAAATTTAAAAAAAAGCACACGATGTCAACCCACTATTGTAGACTGTTGAAAATTAAAATCCAGATTCGGACCGTATATGCATTCACCTTGGTACGTATGCAAGCTTATCCCAATAGATAAATAAATCGCACTTGCTAATTTGATATCAATGACTTACCATATTTCGCTAGTTCATTATAATTTCATAGTGGATGTTTGCATAGATCCACTTAAGAGAACAACAAGTACCTGTAAACGAAAGTCAAATGTGTCTGTATGCCTTCAGACTCCAACAATCTCGAGGCTTGTATTCCCTGCGAGAAGACAAAGTGATTGGGGCACAAAAGAGATGAATAGAATCGTCGAAGTTATTGTTTTAAATGCATAGATATTTCTAAAGATTGCCAATAAAGATATTATATTCACATACTTGCCAAGTTGAAGGAATTTTGAATAACAACCGCTCAGGAGGAACATCGATTTCACTGTAGGACTTCAGCAAATCATGCACCTACATACGATATTGTATGAAACCACTATCAGATAAACATATCATGTCAACTGTTATACAAAAGTAGATATGTCTGGAGCATGCTCTTAATCCAAAGGCTATGAAAAAACAAAACACAATCAGAAATAGAAATAAGATTTTATAAGGCAATTACTAAAACCAACAACTGAATCAGTATTTTATCATTTCTATAAAAGTTAACAAGCATTACCTTTCTAATAATGCCATGGGTGTCATAAGCCAAACGCGCATCCACTTCAGTTGAAACTCGACCAGGTACCAATTTAGACAAATCACCTCCAACATTCACCAATGCCTATAACAACACCAACAACCCATGTCATTTATCCAACAAAACAAAGTTCACATCACATACATTTCCAAACAAGCAATCATCAATATCCAACAAAACAAACCTTGTTTACAAAACAAGACAGTCTCAACTCATCATTTTCCAGAGCAGAACAACCTGAATCCGCCAATGCGGTATCCACAGCACTCTGCAGTAAAAACAAATTACTAAAATCTTTTTCTCGCACTTGTATTGATCAAAATGAAAAAAAAAAAAAATTGATACTGATTGTTTGCCTACTCTAAATATTGTATCGGGCAGGCCACAAATACCCAACAGAAGTGAAGAGCTAACAGTAGCAGCAGTTGGAGGAAACCTAAATATAGATAATATAAGCAAACCAAGATTAGCGGGGAAGAAAACCATCAATAAAAGCAATCCGGTTGAAGAAAAAGAAATATACTTCTGGAAATCATCGAAAACAACAGTATCAGGCACGATCTCACTGAAACTAGACACAGCATCCAATTCGGTACTAGCACCTACAAAAAGGAAAAAAGAAAAACCAAAATCAGTAAAAGATTGGCAGTTTAATAAAACGGGATATAGAGAGAGATAGAGACCAGTACCAAGAGAAGAAGAGAAGCCAGAAGAAGCACGAAATTGAGGAAATGAAGGGTTATGGAACTTGAAAAAAATGGAATTTGAAGATGCCGATCCACTTGGCAACCTCAGTCTCCTCCTCCTCCTCCTCCTCCTCCTCCTCCTCCTCCTTTCTGTTTCCAAAACAAAAGATTTGATAAATTAATAAGATTAATGATGTTATAATAAATAAATGCATTGATTATATATAATCATGATTACCTGGAGAAAGGAGGATTTGGAGGAGAGAGCAGAAGAGGGCGGAGATTGCAGGGAGAGTGACATTTTTTTTTTTTTTTTTGGTTCTTTTTAATGTTCTTTTAGTTAGAGAATGTGCTACTTCTTACTGCTTGGTTTTTTAAGGCTAAAACGTGGAAGTGAAAACCGGAAAGGAAAGGAGAGTTCAGATATTTATTACACTCGTGTTGAAAGAATCTCATGCGAGTAAATTATAAAAGTGAAAAAAATTAGTTATTTTTTTATCACGATTAATTTAATATTTTTTTTATAAATCATATCATATTTTTATTTTTTAAAAAATCAAAATAAATTTAAAAAAATATAAAAAGATTAAATTTAGTTTTTTTTTAAAAAAAACTAATTAATTCATTCTTGAAAGTGAGAGGGATCAATTTATAATTTATTCAATATTATACCTGGTTTTTCTTTTTTCCGAAATTATTACTTGATATGAGCCCCTACTTTAATTATTACTCTTGCAAATCTTCTTGAAAGAGACCTCACATTTTAATGTTTATGTAGAACAACCATTTGTTTTTTTCTTATTTTTGTGGTACATAATAAGTTTTTTTTCTTTTTTTTGGGATTTAATGGTATTATTGAAAAAAAAATCATACATTAAAATCAAATCTATATTATTGGTATGGTATGACGAAAGCAGCTTAACCTTCTCGAGAAAGAAGGAATTACGAAATATTTACTTCTAATAACTAATAATGTCTTTCAATTAGGAAAAAAAATTCATACATTAAAATTAAATTTATATTATTAAAATGGTATATATGACGAAAGCAACTCAACCTTGTTGAGAAAGAAGAAATTATGAAATATTTACTTGCAATAACTAATAATCTCACAGTTTTTGTTAAAAGAAAATACCCGGTGCAACAAGGGTGATTTATTTGTTTATTCTTGCGGCGGTGCTCAATGAAAATCAAATGAATTGTATTACTTTCACATTCTGGTTTCAACAAAATTCCAGCTGATGAAATCATATTTATTATAAGGAAAAAAAAGAAAAAGGGAATGCACTTCGAATTGGATCATATTTCTTTAAGAATATGGCCCATTAATCCTTTCGAAGGGAAAAATAACAACAAATAAGTTTGAGTTGGATGTGTACAAAATAACATCAAGAAGACTTTTTAACCTATACGGGCTTGATAGGGACAATCATCTTTGAGGACTCCGCCAGGAATTCGAACCAATGGTTCAATTCTTTTAGATTACAGAACAAAGGTCCACCATTATGGCGATGCCACATATTAGGCACAATTGTCAAGGTCCCAAGAAGCAACATTTGCTCAGGTAGGGATTGCAATTTTTATTTTATTCATAAAAAATACTCCATCTGTTATTTATTAAAAAAATCATAATATAAATCTTTATGTAATTTATATCTGGCTCACATTAATTTAGCAACTTATTTAATACTCATTTATTATCGATTAAAAATAATTTATCAAAATATTTATTTTAATCTTTATGATTTTCATTAAAAAAAATTGGTTCTTAAAATTTATTTTTTAAAGTATTTTGATCATTTATTTATAAGTTTTTTTGTTATCAAACTTTTTATAAAAAATATTTTGATTCTTAGTTTTTAAAATTTATAAAATAAAATTTATGTATGTGAAAAAAAATTCAGAATAAATTAGTAAGTACTAATAGAGTAAAAAATGGATACCCATATACTAAAACTATATTAATGGATATATATTTTTTTTCATAATTATCTATTTTAATATCAATTAAATATTTTTAATGAATATTTATTATGTCGGATAAAATAAAAACTTGTTTCATACCCGATTTATTCTCTAGGTTCAGCCCATCCATAGAAAAGGCTGGACCCACCTTATTTAATTAAATATGAGCTGTGGGCTTGGTAGGGCTTTTTATTGGATCAGAAACCTACAAAAATTAACATCAACGAATGAGCACGTGAAAAAAATAATGTCAGGACAGACTTTAATGTTTCTTTGGACTGTCTTTTGCATATTTCCACACAAATTCAGCGATCTTGCTTTGGATCCGAGCACGCTCGCTTACCCCGAGCCAAGCCTGAGAGTGTTGTGTCCCAACAGACTCTGAAATGCTTTATTTAGTTTCCACGGAGATCTAAACGACATGTAACCCAATGAGGGATAAGAAGACAGCACAAATAATTAATGCTCGCAGAAAATATGTTCTTTTTAGGCCTGACAGTGAATCAAAGCTTGTGGGTTTAAAGATACAGAAAAACTATCAAAGTAGCAAACGACCACAAATTTTGTTATCACCTAACAACAAACAATTATGGCAGCCATCATCACTAAGCAGGAACATTCATTGCAGCAGAAAACTGAATCCATTTTTCTTGATGAGTAACACGAGTAGGAATCAATTATCAAGGCCAGTGAGCTCCAGCTCCTGCTGTTATCTCAAGCTAACAAAACTATTTTACCTTTACCACAACAACAACAGTTTTCTGAGACAAAATCGACCATTTTAACATAAAAATTTAGGTCAGGTTAATTGGTTAAAAACTATCCTTAACTTTCAGTAGGAGAGTAGTCTCCAAGTTTTTTTTAAAAAAAAAAAAATCCTAAACCTATTTTTTGATCAGCAATGTCATCCTTACGTGGGTCAATGTAGGATTCCATTAAGAAAACGAACAGAAAATGCATGAAAAAGCCACATGATTCGCTAAAAGTGTAGGAATTAATTAAAATTATTTTCACCATAAATTAAATTTTTTTGAATAAATAATTAAATGAGGTTGCATACTACTATAATAAAAAAAATAATTAAAAGGCCAAAATAAACTCAACAAATTCTCCTTTCCATCAATCAAATCACCTTGATAAGAATATCAAAAGCGACCACCCTCACTCTCACTTGCATTACAAATACTAAACCACCACCACCTTCATCAACACAAAATCACCTTAATCATCTATTGATGAAGCCAACACCGATTGAAACCATCACTAATTTATCATTGATGGAAGGGGCAATCGCTTTCAGTGTTCATGGATTTGAATTTGAACACCATGGTATACGATATACCTCACTTTTTAACGAAAATATGAGTGTTGATAAACATAAATTGGAGAATGAGAACATGATGGGAAACAAATTAATACAATTCTTCCATTAAAGCAAGAAGGCATTGATGTAAGGTGAGGAAGTTTGCAGATCTAAATAAAACTAGACTTTGCGAGTATCGAGATCTCATACAATTTGAATTTTTTTACCGAGACCCTAAGTTTTTTTTTTGGTCTAATTTAAGAGTTTTACTTTTATTTTATTGTTTTAGACTCTAATATGTCACATAAACACATGTAAGAAATTCTATTTAATGACATCTTGCCACGTGTTATGGTGGGCTCAAATTGAATGATTAAATTTATGATGTGACAATCTATCATTAGTTAGAATTTGTGATGGTGCTTACATGAGACATTAAGGTCTAAACAACGATAACATAATAGAACTCTTAAATTGGATAGAAAAAAAATTAGAGTCTTAATAAAAAAAATCTAAATTACATAGAGTTTCGATATACGTAAAATCTAAACAAAATCTGAAACAAAAAGAGAGAAATTAAATAGAGTTTTGATTAGTTAACTTTCTTTCCTAATGTTTAGGGAAAAAAAGATGAATTTTTAGAAAGACTTGACCAAAAAACACAAACATATACATAGACTTAATAAAAAATAATGCTTGGCTAAATAGACTGGAAACTAATCTTTTATTAACCAGAAATTCATGATATTTTTTTAACCAATTAGCCTAAATAAAAAGTCAGCAGGACATAAACTTGGCAAAGAAACACCTCTGGGATTAGCATAGGAAGAAGTGAATTCAACCTTACCATCTCCGATTATATAAAATAAAAAATCAAATTTCAGGTAGATAAATAGACCCTGAAGTTTAAAATTTAAAGCAAAAAGGCTTCCGCAAGTTGAAACAAAGGAAAGGTAGGGAATTGACAATAATTTAAAGGCACCGCTGCTCTAAATCGATGGTCGAAGCCTCTTTCTTTATCTTGTGTAATATCAATAGAATTCAAATGCCTAAGCTATCTCGATGTTATCAGATGGTCCTCCTATTATTCACGATGCATCCACCTCCTCCTCCTCCTTCTTCTTCTAGCTTTTTCCATGTCACCAGGGAATTAAGAAATCTCATCACCTGAAGTATGAATATATTTTACGATTTGGCAAGAAAAACAAAAGAAAATGAAGATAAAGACAGAAAGTTCATAGCGGACAACAGATAAAAATTTGTACCTCTGTCGGATCTTTGAGAGAGTAAACTGCATTCGTTTCTTTGGGTCTAGATGATACCAGAATTCCATAACCTCGATTCCCCTCCCGGAGCACCTGATATTAGACCAAAATATCTAACACAATTAGGTTTTTCCCTATACATGAAAATGAAAATCTTGTTCGGTTTAAATCAATTAATACCTTGAATGCATCTTCATCGGACATATCATCACCAATATAAATTGGGAGAACATCATCTCTGTTATTAAGCCCTGCACCACGAAATTTATAGCATACAGATGGTTGAAAACCTTTAAGAAAAAACAAATCTACATCACCTAACCTAGGATGTTTGCAATCAACAATCTCACCTAGAGATTCAAGCAGAAATTCAACTGCTTTTCCTTTATTCCAGTCAATCATTGGACGGACCTCTAAAACCTGAATACACAGAAAATGGAGACCAAAATCATCATCAAGAAAGCTGCTGCTGCATATACATAAAGTCACATCACTAACAGCAGCATCTAGCAAACAATCATATTACCTTCCGCCCATGAGTTTTTCGCAAACGAGGATACTTATCTAGAATATCCTGAACACATTGTGCAATAGGTTGCCAGCTCTAAAGTCAAGTAAAAGCATAACACATCTTAGAACATGGTCAAACGAATACTCAGTCATATAATGGGAGATGTTTCTGCCATAGAACAACAGTTCCCTACCTTCTCATCTACATTACGGAAATGCACGGAGACACAAAACTTGTGATTCTCAACTTTTGCACCTTTGATTCCCTTAGTATTGTCGACAAGGGTTCTAAAAACCTGCGCGAAATTGAAACAAGTCAGTTTTATCCTCTGAGATAACGATGAAAATACTCTGTTTTATACATGAAACCAAAACAATTATGCACCTCATTGATCATGGGTATAAATTCTCTAGCGGGCTGGAACAGATTTACATCCTCCTTGCCCTATGAAATTTAAACAGAAAGTACAACATTTTACTTGGTTTATAACAAAAAGGTTCAACAGAATCTAACCACTTGGAGTCCAATTTTACAGCAAGCACATGTAAAATTACTTACATAAAGAGCCAATCATCGTATACCTGCAGGTCAGTAGTAGATTCAGTACAGTTTGGATGGTCATTGGACACTGCTTTTCCTATAGGACCTAAAATGTCCATCCCATGACTACCAGCATAATATAGTTCTGTTAGCCCTATCAGTTCACAAACCTGGAAAAATTTCAATAATTCAGCACCACTATGACGATCAATTGTAATTATACTACCAACAAATGGGCCATGTGCATATGAAAATCTAAAATGCATAGATGAGGAATTCTCATCCCACCTTGTCACGACTTCTTCCGCTAATAATTGCCGTTGGGAAATACTTTGCGACTTTACTTACAGTAGAACGCATCTGAAAACAGTTCGTCCCAATTTAAAGATGGAAGCACCAGAAGGTAAGAGATAAAGAAAGAAAGAATGTGGAAAATCCAACAACTTAATAGCAATTCTTACATCATCAGACATAAGGGCATTATCTGGGTCATCTACTATTGGAGAGAGAGTCCCATCATAGTCTAGAAACATTGCTATCTTCTTGTTTTTGGCAAGATTTGCAATTTCCTCAAATGAGTTAAGTGCTGATGGATGCTTGAGCTACGCAATCAAGAAAACAAAGAAAAAAACTGACACAAAAGCAGAGCATAAAACGCCGTGATCCTTTATTTTTATTTTTATTTTTATTTTTTTAAAAACAGCTGTGGCACAGAGCAATTCTGAAAATTTTAAGCATATTTCCCGACGAATTTGCTAAAAATGAAGCGAGCATTACCATCCAGGAGCTGTAAGCGGTGTCAGCACCATCCTTAATGAGCTTCTTGCGAGGGGGTGAAGATGATTTCATGGCATCCAGCCATGCATTCGCGCAGACTTCATCAAGTTTCCCAGGCTTTTTCCTAGGAATGTTTATATACTTGCTAGGGGAAAGTGATCCTCCTGATGGTGCGTAAGGCAACAAATTAGAATGGATGCCGAGCCTTGACTTGTTTATTGGTGTAGAGTCAGTGAGAACAGGAGAAGAATGATTTGATTCGATATCCATCCTAGCCAAATTACTTGCGGAGTACTTGTCAAGTATGAAGTAAGCGTATAGTACCAATAAACACTTAACCAAACACGGATGGATGCACGTTATACAGAATGCCTTTTACCCGACCATTTTATCAATGAAAAACCACCTCTTCAATGTTTTCTTGTCGCTGCTACTGGGAGAGCAGTCCATCAAGCAGGGACTTCCTGGAAACTGGCAGTCCCGGAAAGCATTAATTTTCAAATAAAGATTTGCTTCAAAATGTGAAATGTATGTCTAAACAGAACCCATATTCATACCTTCTCATCTCCAAAGCTACACAACATTGGTTGGGTGGCAGAACATTATTTGCACTAAGATTTTCAAGATATCGAAGAATGGCTCCAGCAAAGTGCACTAAAAGTATCTGTTCAAAGGATAAAAGAAAAGGGTATGTTTAGTCCTGATGAGAACATGACTTTTTGCGACATAAAATGAGTCTGGAATTTCACATACACGTTTTGAAACTGCTAGCAACCAAATCAAATGGACTAAATTAGTCTTTAAGAAATGCAGAACTTGACCGAACCAAAGATCAGATTTTGACAGCCATTAATGTTAAAAGTTGAAGAAAATAGCTTGTCCACATCCATATCTAAGTCAGCTATCCTGATGCTGATACTGATATTAGAAGTCTTCAGAGTTAAATTCATAAAACATTTTATAAAAAAAAAAAAGGGTCAAGATCATAGGCCTATCTAATCACTTCATAACAAATCACAATATATACTGATTGACAAGTTTTTAAACTGGAATTCCAATGGACATTAATTATTTTCCACTGCAAAAAGGACAGATATGTAAGGAAAGAGACAGAAAGACCTATGATTTTGACATCATCATCATATCTTTCAGCTAAAGTAACATATCTTAGTGCGGCAACTTGTTAATGATCAGCAATTTTTTGGGTAGCAAATAATGCAAATGAATAGTAACTATCCAGACAGAATCAAGTAGCTAGCCATATGCAAAAAGAACACAAACACAAACACGAATCCGATTCCTGTTATGGAAAATCCTCATCACCTAACAATCAAAACATCAGTTAAGTGTGTTCCGAAATATGGTGTGTGGACATACGAAAAACATCTGATTGGATAGGCCATAACACATTGAGACTTGCAGTTTGCTAAAGACAAAAAAATTTAGGTGAGGAAAAACAAAAATCACTATTGAATCAACATAAAAACAGTAACCAACACAGCCGAAAATAACATGATAGCCCCAGTAATAACTATGGAAAGGATAATAATTATAAAATCCCATAACTATGTATATAATTGTTAATTAGGTAATATAATTTAAATTATCTCTAAATATGCTCCACCTCATCCACTACGACATGGTGTGTCATTGACAAATAATTGAGGGACTTTCCAGTTTGTCTAGCAAACAAATGACATAATACATTCAAAATACAGAATACTATGATGATATAATGGTATGTATATATCTCTGTCTGTATATGTATACGTGACAGAAAAGGTGTGACTGTGTGGGCCTGTAGAAAGGTTATAATATCACTTGTGGATCTAATATACATCATTTTCAATGTCCATTAATTTTTTTTTTTTTAATAAATCAAAAGGATCCCATGTACAGATTTGCAAAACGAAAATTTCTTTTTTTCTACCATGATCAGACACTACAACTACCAAAACGACCATATAATTAGACCCCAACCACAAAATAGTGATTCAAGACATAATAAAAGTTTTTAACTTTTTCTTATCGTATATGAACCATTAGCTTTCTCCAAATCATTAATTGTGAACATTTTTTTTGGGGTGTTCTTTTTAAGTGTGAAACACAAGTTGGAGACTTTTTACTCCTGAATATATATAACATTAACAAAATCTTCGTCATGATCGATCACACCATATATAATTCCCAGGCAAAAACAACTTCAAAACATAAAAAAAAAACATGGAAATTGTAAAAGCATATGGAGCTTTCTTTTCCCATGATTACAGGATCATTATCACATCAAGAGAAAGCGATTAACACGTTTTGGAACCTCAACAAACTTATTTACCTCCATCATAACAACCGACAAAAAAGAAATTTATGGTAAAATGACGAAACGGTACAAATCAGCTGTCAAAATCACCACCTGCTATACATAAATAAATATAAAATATACGACCATGAATGAAGAGATCCTATGGTATGGAAAAAAAAATCTCAAACATTTCACCAAGAACCAACTATAGGCATTCAGAAGTCATACACCCTATGGTGTCAAATTCCTAATAAATTAGGGTCAAAACCAAGAAAACTAGTTATGATATTTATGGTTTAAGAAAAATAAAAAGATTGCATCCTCAGCAAATCATGGTGTTTGCATGTCTAACCAGAAAGAAATGAGAGCCAAGACAGATCTCACTAAAGGGATTCATATTCATCAATATTGTTGGCACAAAAGTAATAACAGCATTGCACATGAAAATATTTTCAGATTCTACAATAATTAAATAAACAAAACAAAAAACAGAACTCGTACCTAATCCACTTGTTAACAAAACGTGCCTGGCTGTTTTTTTTTTATCAACCAAACAGGACTGATCTCTATAATGCAGTTCTCGGATCAAAAGCCAAGAACCTGAAGATCCCACAAAGAGAGAACAGAAAAAAAAAGAAAAAAAAAGAAAAATGAAATGAGAAATTAATTGGGAAAAAATAAAAATATGTAAGAAAGCGAGACGGAAAGAGAGAGAAAGCTGAGTGATATATACATGTACAATATGGGAAGGAAAAATATATAATCGCCTCACTGATAATTAGGAAAGTTCCAGAGGAGACTTAATGTGAGAGATAAAGTATAGGAAAGAAGGGAAGGAAATGAAGGCGAAAAGAATGGGTATTTATAGAGTTTGATATGCCATAGAAGACGTGTTTAACAAGGTAAACCCTAAATAACCTGGTTGTTGAATCAGGAAACACCACTCTAGTTTCCAAGTAAATCTTTAATGAAAATCTGTTTAAATTGAATATTTAATTAATTACTATAATGATAAAATATCTTTCAATAAGCTGCTTCATGAGTCAAGCATATGTGGCTATCCAGGTAAATTTTAAGTCGTAATGCCTCACAAATTCACTGCTCCCATCATAAATGTTGGACCATCTAATTTTATAAAATAGAGTATGAATTTTTTATATAGAGTATTTATTATAGCATATTCTGTAAAATTTTGGATTCATAGTTAGGCTGATATATATATATATATATATATATATATATATGATTCATGTGAATTCTAATTTTTTTTATTTTATATATGAATGGTTAAACCATACTCACATTGCTTTGAATAATTGGATTGAGAATACAACTTTATCAACAAAGTTAAAAAAAAAATGCTAAATTACATAAATAACTTCAACTACGAATAACAGGATCTACTCATTTATATATAAATGAATATTGTGGTTAATAAGATTTGTTTAATTTTTTTTTTAATTTCTACGTAAAGAATGTATTTTTAAGATTGTCAAAAAGATATTTAATCTCAACTAATGAGAGAGTATTTATAGAGTATTTATTGTAGCATATTCTGTAAAATTTTGGATTCATAGTTAGGCTGATATATATATATATATATATATATATATATATATATATATATTGCTAATTATTATATGATTCATGTGAATTCTAATTTTTTTTTTAATATATAAATGGTTAAACCATACTCACATTGCTTTGAATAATTGGATTGAGAATACAACTTTATCAACAAAGTTAAAAAAAAAAAAAATGCTAAATTACATAAATAACTTCAACTACGAATAACAGGATCTACTCATTTATATATAAATGAATATTGTGGTTAATAAGATTTGTTTATTTTTTTTAATTTCTACGTAAAGAATGTATTTTTAAGATTGTCAAAAAGATATTTAATCTCAACTAATGAGAGAGTATTTATAGAGTATTTATTGTAGCATATTCTGTAAAATTTTGAATTCATAGTTAGGCTGATATATATATATTGCTAATTATTATATGATTCATGTGAATTCTATTTTTATTTTTTAATATATAAATGGTTAAACCATACTCACATTGCTTTGAATAATTGGATTGAGAATACAACTTTATCAACAAAGTTAAAAAAAAAAATGCTAAATTACATAAATAACTTTAACTACGAATAACATGATTTACTCATTTATATATAAATGAATATTGTGGTTAATAAGATTTGTTTTATTTTTTTTAATTTCTATGTAAAGAATGTATTTTTAAGATTGTCAAAAAGATATTTAATCTCAACTAATACTCAAACAGGCTCAATATTTTTACTATGAAATATATATATATATATATATATATATATATATAAAACAAAATCTTCTCATTTGATATTTTTTAAGAAAAAATTAAATGTATTTTTCATTTATTTTCGAAGCATCATAAGTCGAGGTCGAAAAAAAATAAAAAAAGAAGGTAATTTAGGAATAGAAAAAAAAAAAAAGGGTTAATTTGATTGATTAATTAAAATAAGTAGTAGAGTAGGGAGTAGGGTTGGGTGTTTTAGTTCGTTTCGTAAAACGCAGTAACACGTGTAGCTGGAAGTTGGAGACAGAGAGAAGTATTAAAATGGTGCCATCTGTGGAAACATAAAGAAAGAAGAGGCCACATGTCAGCTTTGGGGGGCCCATGTTGCAAAACTGGGCCGGATTTTGCGCTCCTGTCACTTTCATGCACCGTTGGTATTTTGTAGCTCTGTTTGTTGCTTTCTTTTTCTTTCATTTCATTCACCCAAGAGCATTTGCAAAATTCAACTTTCTCCATCTTTTCTTGATGTTGTTCGGCATGACCTTATAATTAAGCTGGAATGACTAAAATGATTTTTAAGTATAATTTTTGAAAAATCGACTAAAATGGTATCATACAATTACGATGCCAGAACCCAAAAAGAAATTAATGTAGGTACTTGGTTACTTGTTGTGATTTTAAGAAACCAATTAAAATCAGTGTTGGCATGCATGCCGAGAGCTTTCGATCTCGATGCCCGAATCCTTGTACTTCTGGAGGTTTAGAGACAACTTAACTCTTTCTGGTCTTTGAAAGGAGTTCATCAACTCCATCACTTCTACAATATATCACCACTGTATGATCGATACAACGCTCCATCTACTTGAACACATGCATAAATTAATTTATAATTATATTAAAATTCATATGAATATTTAAATAATTTGAAAATTTTGAAAACATTATATGAAAAGATTGCAATGACAATCATATTAATTTTAATGTAATAATTTAAATTTGTCTATATAATTCTATTTGAATTAATACAATGCCTAATAAATTAATATAATCTCGAGTGAAGGATATTAATTTAGAGATTAGTATATTTTCTACACAGACAAAAGAAAGGAAAAAAACGACAAAAGTATGGTAGGAATGCTTTCTATCCTACCTCCTCAGTTTACTCGGCCAGAAAAACATGGCTGTTGAGAAACTTCCCAAATATTCTGAAAGATTTGGTGCATGAAAACCAATATTCAAATATTTGTTCTAAGCACGTAGGGATTTAGAATGCAATTCAAATTTTCATCTATTTTGTTGCACATAAAAGAATTTCATGATTGTTATAAAAGAATTCCAGTCTAACAGTAATGATTGTTATGAAATAATTTTAATTCAACTATCATGATTATTATAAAAGAATTTCAGTCCATCAGTTATTATTGTTATGAAAAGGTTATAATATACTTTAAATAGAGGAGTATGCATATGGCAACAATTATTATTCTTTCTTCTACAATCCTTCTCTCAAAATTCTTCTCTTTTTAAAACTTTACAATTTCAAGAGTATTGTCCGCAATTTCTTGAGTGCAAAAATAGAATATGAGAGGTGAATAGTCAAAATTTATGTAGCATTATAGTGGGGGCCAATAATCACCTTTAGAATAGAGTGAGAAAAATCTTATAAACCATTGAAAAAAAAGAAAATAGATTTATCATTTGACAATTTGTCTTCAATAGCATAAAAAAAAAACCCATTTTTTTTGATAAAAATCTTGCATGACTCAAACACATTTTGCATGTTTAGCCTAATAACGCTCTTGAGAAAATTACATCATAACATTTGAATGTCATGTTTTGACTCTTGTTCAATCAACTTAAACATCTTCATGAATGAAAGTACTTTCATTCAAACATCTCTATATTTCTTTCAAATAATCTAATTGTATTTAAGAGAATCATTCAAGTTCTCAACTTAATCAATGAAAACTAAATGTCTATTCAATGATTTTTTCTCAAAATATGACAAAAATTCCAAGATTAACCGCAAATTAAGGAACAAGCATCAAAAGATAAAATATAAACACAAATAGTGATTATGCTAAGAGAGTAGTAAATGTTTGATCTCAACTAGTATTTGGGAGCATGTCATGATCTAATATGAATAATTCACAAAATTGAAAACACTTAAGAGGTAAGGCCAAGGACCTAACAACTCTAATCGAGTTCAACAACTCGGTCAAACAATGATATCATTAAGCTAACTAAAAGAATGAATGCATGAATAGTAAGCTTTTGATCATTAATCAAAGTAGCCAAAGCCATCAAGTTAGGTGGCAAAAAGCAATCATAATAATGGATAATGACACAATAAGAGTTTGGAAAGCAATCGAAGCAAGTTGGGAATGATCAAACCAGAGATAGATCACAATGCATGGATGGTTATCATCTTCAAAGGTTCAAAAAATTCTAGTTTACCTTAGTTGGTTGCCAAAAAAGAAAGAAGAAAAACCCAAGTTTATAATGAATGGTGACTAAAACCCAAGGGGCAAGGAAATTTTGACAAGACTACGGGATATGGTTTGGTACGGAAGTTCAAATGGCCAAGAATGAAGCACCAAGGAGGAGTTAAGTACCGACAAGGTAAAACGACCTATGTTTCACACAAGTAAAAAATTAACCATTGCAATCAATCTCATTAATATATTTTAGGAATATCATCGCGAATGTATAGACAAGTTGGTCATTCAAACCAAAAAATTTGAAAGTCACAAGATCATGAGGGAATTCATGTTCCTTGAATCATCATTTTTGACAAGACCGTCTAGCAGTCATCATCATTTCGAGCTTGGTTGTTTAGTAATAGATCATCATTCGGGCATAGTCGCTTCATAAAATACCATAATTCAAGCGGGGTTGCCCTATAATAGACCATCGTTTTAGGTAAGGATCACCTCACAATAGATCATCATCTAAGTAGGATTGCCTCACAATAGACTATCATTTTAGATAAGGTTACCTCACAATAGACCATCATTTTAAATAAGATCGTCTCACAATTGACCATCATTCAAGTAGGGTTATCTCACTATAAACTGTCATTTTAGACAAGGTCTCTTAATAATAAATTATCATCTTAGGTAGGATAGTCTAACAATAGACCATCATTTTAGATAAGAACACCTTATAATTAACTATCACATTTTGGTTTTTAGACTTGGTTGCCTAACAATAAACAATCGCATTTTATTTTTTAAGCTCGATTGCCTAACAATAGACCATCGCATCTACTTTTTAGGGTAAACCGCTCTTGAAAATAAAGCCATCGTATTTTACTTTTTAGGATAAGCTACCCTTGAAAACAAGGCCATCACATTTTACTTTTTAGGATAAACTACCTTCGAAAACAAGGTTATCACATTTTACTTTTTAAGACGGATCGCCATTAAGAAAGAAGTAATCACATTTTATTTTTTTATGATAGATCACCCGGGATAATCAAACTATTTTTGCCATTCGGTTTACTTTTTCTTTATAAGCTCACTAAGAAAACTCAATATGAAGTTCACACTTCGAGTTGGAATTTACATTGTAAGTATTGTAAAGAGTAGACAACTATCATAACTCAAAATTTAAGTTATATTTATTTCCTGTTTTTTTATCATTTTTATTTATTTTATTTATTTATTTTTTCTTCTATTTTGATTTGATTTTATCTTATTTTTCATGTTTATTTCGATATAATTTACCATTATTAACTTTATGTTTAATTTTAAGGATTTTCTTTCATTAAAAAAAAAAGGAAAGAAAAGGAAAAAAAGAAAAAAATTTTCAATGCATAACCAATCTTTCAAAAAAGAAGAAGGGGGAAATGAAAATACAACATATATATATATGGAATGGAATAAGGATTGAAATTGAAGACAACCAAATTTGAAATTTGAAAGTTAATGAAGGACTAAATTGAATGAAATTGGGATGGAAATTAAAAGTCTATAGGAGTACAATTGAAATGAAAATCGGGAGCGTAATTATAGAAAATTGAAACACACATGAGCTAAATTAAAATTGGAAAGCAAATGACTAGACCGAAATTGGTTGAATGACCCGTTGTTTGTTGTAACCCAAGATTAATTTTTAGGTACTTTTCATCGTCTTCCTTAAAGAAAAATTTATCCAATTTCATTTTTGTGATTCTTTATTGGCAATTGTACCACGTAAGAATTATGTTGTACATATCTCTACACCTACCATAATGCACCTCTACACTACCCCTCCACACACTCGAATTGGTTTTCATTTTTTTTTTTGTTTTATGCATAAATGGTAAAAGAAAACCCACTATCTAGCCGTGATCTTTAGGAGGTAATGATCCAGATTGTTTGGGAATGATCCTAAGGTAGGAATTCAGTGGAATGGGGCGATAAATTGAGCCCCGTTATAGGAATTAATGAGGATTTTTAGAGATGATTTTTGGAGAATTAAGGAAAATCAATGATGGCTTCTTGTTAGCTTTCTAGGCTTTTTAAAAGAAGAATAACTTGGATTTTTAGGTAAAAATACCAACTTCCTCTAGGTTTACAAAGCCCATTTGGTCAAAATCATTTTTGGTATTGTTCCAAGTCATCTCGGGACCATAAGAGTAACAAGCAAACCTAATCTTTGCAACTATCTTTAATCACTCGTAACAAAGGAATAATAGTGACAACAACACCTAAACTTCTTAGTTTTTAAGTCTCTTAACTTCATTCGGGTAACTTAAACATTCATTTCATATTCATTTTGTTTAATTATTAATAGTTTTTCATTTGTTAATTTCAAAAAGTTCAAATGAGAGAAATAGTAGTGACATTGTCACCGCCATGGCAAGTCTCAAATACCCGGACTCTTTAGGTTGCTGGCAATGGAGTTAAAAGGGAGGGAGGGGTGGTTCTATTTTGCTATTAATTGGGGAGGTGTTGGTCCTTGTTAAGGAAATTTTTAGGTGAGGTAGGAGGAGAAGAAATAAAAAAAGGTAATTATGAGTACAATTGAATCAATTAAAAAATTTTAAATTTAAATTACACTTTATGGGGATCCAATTGATAAAATTACACTTTACAAAGATTGAAATTGCATAGAAAAAAAAATGTAATTGCGACCAATTAAAATTCATAAGGACCAAATTAGAATTTTGAAGCAAACAACAAGACCAAAGTCTAGCAGACTATCCGTCATCTGCTCTAACCCCGAAATTTCTCCTAGGATTGTTCTTTGATCTTTCCCGAGAGACAAATCTTCCTCTCGACCTCGTTTTTTGATTTTGCATTCACTAGGATCCTTAGCTGGATTTGATACTAGCCAAGTATCATGTCTCAATGCAATCCATATCTTGATTTTGGATTATCAAAGGCAAAATTCTAGCCTTGGCAACTAGATCCAATGTGAATGTGCTCATATTAGGAAGAGAAATGAGCCGATTCTTACCTATAAAAAGGTTTGTTTTAGCTAGGAAGTGGGACAACAAGAAAATGTGAAGAATTTTGAGTTGAAAGAGA